ATAAAGATCTATTGTTATTATGAATATTCATTTCAGAAATTCTATCCACCTCTCAAAAGTTGTCATTTTGCAGTACATTTTGCAGTGGCCTTATTGCAATAAAGGTTTAAAATATAGAGCAATGGTAGTCCAGTGGGAAAACGGTTGCTCCTCAATTATTATTATTATTTTGAAGGCGAGTGTTATTTTGAAGTGAACAGGCATTGTACAAGTGTGCATATTCCATCGTCGACCTCTTCGTCACTTTCAACCAGGTATGATGGAGGTCAAGTGCGCACTTATTCTTACAATAAAAATATATATACGACATACGAGCAAGGCGCAAAAGAGCGAGAGAATAAACACAATAACGAAAATAGAGTATTTTATTTTTATTTTTATGAGGCTATCATACTAGGTACTTAAGAAATTCCCCGTGTTTACTATAAGCACCAGAGCTATAGAACTTAAGTAGCAGTAGAGCTCCTTCTGAAAGAGATCGTCCAGGGTAGTAATGACACCTTACCTATTTCTGCCGCCAAGCAGTAATGCCAGCATTAGTGCATTCCGGTTTAGAAGGGTAAGAGTGCTGGTGAAATTGCAGGCACATGGGACTTGTCAATGTCTCAGGGGGACGGGTGCAGTGGCAGTGCCCCTCAGATCTTTGCAATTTAAAGCTCTGAGTGGCACTGTAACTGTTATGGACAGGCGTGTAGCTTACCATCAGGCGCACGACTTGTTCGTCCCGTCACTTGATGTTATAAAAAAAAACACTCCGAGGTACATTCCAGACCCGAAACAAATTTATAATAGTTCATTTCGTAAATGGTCCTACCGGAAATGGAACTTACACTCGCAGTGCAAACCGTTGGGCCACCGAGGTCGTCAAACATTACAAGCGGGTACAGCAAGTCTGTCAAAGCTCTCCTTACACTGGACACACTAAAATACAAATTGTAAAGTATCTATTCAATGAGCATTATGGCCTGTGACCGCCGCGGTGCGCTGTTTGATAAGAAATCGTTGATAAAAAAATGTTAAATTTTTCGAAATTTCGTTCCATTGTTCACATAAATAAAATAAATATAGAAATTAAAGGTATTTTTATTAATAAACATTATTTATTTGTTCGAAATCATAGTTGTGTAGTCAGTGGGCGCTGAAGACTCCCAGGGGAGCAGTAGGGGCCTCGGAAACAATTGAAAAGAAAAACCTGATTTATCTATATCAACTACTAATAAGGAAATATATATATATATATATATATATATATAAGTTATCTATACGTTGTATGTGAATTCATTCCGGTATAGGTATACTATCGTAACCTTGGTAGGTATTATAAATTCACAAGTGATTATACGTCGAAGTCCTTTTATCACATTAAAGTGATAAAAATAATACGATCCATTTATAGAAATGCTGTTTAATGTGAAATTTTGTAACTCACCTATTTAAGAATAAATAACGTGTCGACTAATTTCAGCCGTAGAATCTGCAAAGTATTCATGTGAATGCGGTCATGGGTTCAAGTCCCAAAAAAATGGTGAAAATTTAAGGTGAAAATTTTTCTATGCATTCGATTCTTTTGTATAATATTCGACTCTTTGTATAATAATCATAAATTAAACTGTGTAACAAACCTATTTCATACCATACTTTGTAATAATAGTTCCAAAGTTTCCCGCTAGATGGCGTTGGCATCGAAAACACTATTTCTGAATCGCGGTGTTAAGATTTTCCGTCGAACAGTAAGTGACTACTCGAACACAATTTCTTTTAGTATAAAGTATAATAATAAGTGAGGAATGATTATAAATTATGACTATAATAACGCACACACTCAACATAGCACCGCACTCGGGAAACCCTGTGTCGCGGGTGCCATGGACACAAACATAGACAACCACAAATGACACCCAAACTCACAAGATAAATAAATGTACGCCATTCAAATATTTCTCCTGGCCCGGGAGTCGAACCTGGGGACCTCTGGGTGGCAGTCCGGCATGGTAACCGTTCGGCCACTGAGGCAGTTAAATGACGTCATTCAACGGGACTTGAGTATGGAGAGCCTCGACAGCTTCGTGGATCGCCTAGTCAAGACCATGTTTCGGCGCGCCGGACTGGCACCACATCGAGTCTAACACCCTGACATGTAACCAGTTTCAAGGGAACTACTCGGGCCCGAGAAAGCCCCTCCGGATCAGACATCAGCTGATGAAGATGATTGAGATACCTGCCGGCTCACCGGCATCCCTCCCTCCGGCTCCCATCTGAAGCAGCTCACCCTATTATGACACCCGAGGTTTTCAAGAAAATGTAAGAAAACTATATTATTTTTTTAATAATGTGAAAATAAATTTGCATAGCAATCTCTAAGGACTTTACACTGTTATTTGCGTAAAAGCGATAACGGTCTACAAGCGTATCACATTAAAACTTTATAATAGTGAAGAATAAACGTAGAAAATACATTTACAAAAGAGACAAGATGCCCTATACTATACACTTTTTTACCTTTAAAATTAAATGGACTTGTTCTTGGCCACTACCTAGCTCTGGAGCAAAGATAGGATCTACGACGGAACAGCCTGGATCAGAAGATGCCTATTCAGTCGCACCTTAAAGATGTTCGGGTTGTATGAGCTCGGAAATACAGTCGCAGGCAGGGAATTCCGTTCCTGGGCTGTGAGCATAGTAAAATATGAACAAAAACGCTTAGTATACGCCTGAAGCGAATATCGAGCAAGTAAGGATGATATTCTGCCATATGTCTGGTTGTCCGATAGTAAAATGGGCGTGCGGGATGAGGATGGAGCTTATGGGCATACTCAGCGAATTACATTTTTTGTTGCCTGTCTGTCGGTTCTCTACAGTGGCGGTGGGCTAAAGTATAAAGTTTAGATTCGAGCTTATCATCGACAATAAGGCTCTGCGCTCAATCGAATAAAGAGCTACAAGTTGAAGAACCTGAAGAGATTTATACGTAACAGAGGTGTATTATTTTGTTGTTGCATAATTCATATTAATTTATGTTTTCCCTAGAAGAAACATTTAGAGGCGAGGTATAAGAACGCTAGCTTTGTTTTTAGGAGGTGAGGTGGGGGACCTCTCGCGTCTCGCGATGTGCTCGCTTAAAATTGATATGACTAAAATAACAACAGGCGGAGAAAATTTGACACAGGTCCGACGTTGACAAGCGCCCGATGGCAACTGCCGGGACAGCACTAAGGGAGTAAGTGAGTAAAAGCCTGGTCATTAACACTTTTCAAAAACTTTAAATTTCATATTTAGAATGCCATTAGTTAGCTGAATTGATAAAGATGATGTTCTGCATTCAAACTGCATTAAAAAAACCGAGTTAGTCTACTGTAAATTAAAAAAAAACAATTAACAATTTTTTCCAATTGTTTCGTTTTTTATCTTTACTAATTCCACAAAATGGACGTGTAAACTACAGGTATGTATGTAAATAAATATTAAAATTGTAATAGATTAACAGCCACAACATGGCACATATTCAAGCAGCATTGAAATTACAGGCACATGGGACTTGTCAACTTATGTCTCAGGGGTGACGGTTGCAGTGGCAGTGCCCCTCAGGTCTTTGAGATTGAAAGCACTGAGTGGTACTGCAACTGTTATGGACAGACGTGTCACTTACCACCAGATGGGCGACTTGTACGTCCCGTCACTTGGTCTCATTAAAAAAGCAGCCTTAATTTTTTTTTAAAAGCTTACAAATTCGTGATTTTTAAAATATTTCCATTTATTTCCGGGTCAATTCTCATTTCCTGAAAGAGTATTTATTAGACTTAATATTAACGTTTACAAAAGGCGTTATTTTTTGCTATAATAGATAATAACCATGTTGGTTTTAATAACTTATATGTGTATAAAAATAAAAAAAACAAAAGGACTTTATTCTTCAACAGAATACATACAACAATATTTAAGATAAAACAATGCTTAAATCAATGTTGAAGAAAAGGTAAAAGCTTCAGCAATTTGCTGGTTTTCAGGCTTCACCTGACAAGTATTTGCCACTGTAGCATATAGAGACGGGTTAACGTTTAATACAGAAATAACTAACCTTAAAATTTAAAATGACATACGTGCCAACCACCGAAGATTCTGCACTTAGCATCAAAGAATATTTAACTGCGTACAAAGAATACAACAAGTAGACAATGGAATTTAATATCAGGAGGAGTAGATTTTTGCGGTTTATCGTTTTTAGTTACAATATGAACTTCCAAGATACGAATGGTGTGTGTCAGGACCAGCAAGTCAAAGGCTGATGCTCCAGTCTATTCATGTGCCAAAAAAGCGTGAATTGTCTGCATTTTAATCATATTATTATTTATGTAAGAATTCTGCTTATTATTACTACGTATAATTTAAAAAATCACTGAAAAACGCAGTTCGTTTTTAACCGACTTCAAAAAAAAAGGAGGAGGTTCTTAATTCGTCGGTATGTTTTTTTTGCATGTATGTTACGCGATAACTCCGGTATTTGTGAACCGATTGTCATAATTCTTTTTTAGTTGGAAAGAGGGTACCTTCATATTGGTCCCCCTCTAAGGGTGGCTATTCACGCATGAATCGCTATTGGCTGTCTCAATCAGATCTAATTTAGATAGCCAATAAAGCGCACTTATTTCAATTTCATCGCGCGCGTCGCGACTATCATGCGCAGCCATGCTACAGGGGCTGGTCTGCCACGCAGAGGTCCCAGGTTCGATTCATTGGCAGGGAGAAATATTTGTATGGCCTACATTGTTTCTCTCGTGAGTTTGAGTGTAATTTGTGGTTGTCTATGTGGGTGTCCATGCCACCCGTGACATAGGATTGTCCTAGCTATGAGTGTGTAGTAAAAATTTAACAGGTTTATTTTTATAATTAGATAAAAATATAAAAAAGGAAAATTGAGAAACACTTTTCCGCATTTATTCCGGGCGTTGGTTGAATTGTTATTAAAATTTTTACATGGAATATTATATTAAATGGGAACTTACCGGGCAAATGTGAGTTATGGTTTAAATCCATCGAATGTTTCAAATAAAGGTCGGCAAGACCAACTAGTCCTGGTTTATCCATTTTTTAAACTTTCAGTCACTTCACAATTAAACCATGAACTTAATCACTTGCATTGAAGTCCTCTAATTAAAAAATCAGAAAATTGTGACAAGATGAAAAGAAATTGAAATTTTCTTTCGGAACTTCAGGCCCTCGTATTTCTTAATTTTTGAAATTAATTGGACTATTGGGTTAGACGGTTAGGCCCCAGTCCCTTCTATTTCCAATCGAATAAAACTTTTCTTCCACACTATAACTGAATAAAATATTTAATTATACTTTTTTAATGTCGGTCGATCAAATATTTCAAACAATAGAAAATAAAGATGTCCTACATCTTTGAATGGTTACAAACAAGTCAATGTTACAATAAGACATAAAGTAGACTAAATAAATAACTATTACAAGTGCCACGCCTACAAACAATCGAATACATTGTCATTAGCACATAGACATGTCACGTTTATGCTTATCTATGTATTGTCTTGTGATCTTTACATTATTTGTAGCTGAGAAACGATATCTTATATACAACATGAAAATGAGACGACTGAAAATCTAAACTTGTTTCCTTAAAAATTATGTTAAGTGATCGTGTTTTGTTTGTTACATAAAAATTCACATTGACATATTAAAAAATAATTGCGTAATTTAGTAAATAAGTAAATTGCGGAATTTTTAACAAATAAAATTGTCCTTAATTGTGACACAACGTGGAGACTTCCCCGGCCGTAAGGCTGTGAGATGTATTTTTTTCTGATACCAAGTGGTGGACGAACTAGTCGTGGGCCTGGTGGTAAATGACACACCTGTCGAAAAATAACAGTAACAGTTTTACCTGTAATTTCATCAGCACTCTTACCCTTCAAGACCGAAACACATTACTGCTAGGTGGCAGAAATTGATAAGGCGGTAGTACTTCCCCTTTTTTTTGTTGCTGGGAAATGCGTTACGCATACCGCTCGGCTCAAAGGAGCATCGAGCGGTTATGCGGGACTCCCGGGCGGTAGTCCCGTATACCCACTAAAACCCAGCGGTTAACTCCATCTCCATAGAGACGCCCCAGGATCCGCTTTTGCATACTACTGGAACGTCTCGGCGGATGGCCCTCATGGAGCGGGTCCAGTCCTTTGGAGGGTGCCCCGGGCACCTTTAGTCTTGGTGGAAGGGGTCCCCCGACCCTAATCTATGGCGGGAGAAGACGGCGTGCCTTCTTCGTCTCCCCGGCCTACGTCTTCGAAGCGGGTCAGAGAGGGGGTCGTCCTCTCTGGAGCGCTCCGCAGTGGTAGTACTGCCCTGGGCGAATTCTTTCACAAGGAGCTCTGCTGCTGCTATTGCTTCTGTATATGGGTACAGTGACGTCCACGTATGTCATATTGGAATGAAGAAGATGCGTAGCATAACTTCTGCATTCTCCAATTCGGTCAAAAATGGGGATTGTAACAAATACTACTTCTATGTAGCCTGTCGGAATATTATGTTGAGTGCGTACGTTATTTATTATTTGTTTGCGATTGCATTCGAAATGAAACTATTTTTCAAATTTATATATTCTACCAGTACATAATTTTTATCTATATATTTGGATGCTGTTTCCAAGTATATTTTATTTTTAAAATAATTATACATACATATGAAAAATACTAGCAACCTCGCAGGACAATATTACTAACATCATGAACAATAACTTTTGTTCCATGACTTTTAATAATTTAATATTTTAAAAATTACCCTGTATATTGCTCATGTATTTATAATTACTATATTATATAAAATAAAGTTGACCAATTTTAAATTCCTCATATATTTAAAATCGTCTTCTGTATGAATTCCATGGGGTTACACTGCTATTGCGTTGCTAGAATTATTTCATTTTTTTTATACCATGGTAAGCTATATGCCTGTCTATGACAGTTACAGTGCCACTCAGAGCTTTAAATTGCAAAAATCTGAGAGGCACTACCACTGCGCCCGTCACCCTGAGACATAAGTTGACAAACCCTTACCCTTCAAGACCGAAACACAGTAATGCTGACATTACCACTTGACGGCAAAAATAGGTAAGGCGGCAGTACTACTTTGGACGAACCTTTTCACAATGTGCTCTACTGCTACTAGAAATACTACTAATGAATCTGTTAGTTTAGCCATTTCGTGACATTGCACCACAATCATCGATCCTGCCTGGACTACATTGTTGTCAGTCCTTTCGCTTTTTAAAATGACATACTACAACAGTAAACGTTGAACATATTCGACACGAATTTGATCGCGCTCGTGCCTCGCGACCGCTACGCGGAGACCGCGTTGCCGCCGCACAGTGACCGCGTGCATCTAACTGTTACGGCAAAGTACGCTCTATTTATTTAGCTTTTACGTTTTAACTTAAAAGCTCTCATGCCAAAAAAGTTTTGACGTTGGCTCCGCCCAAATTTGTGAAACAAATATATGCCTGAAGTTCGCGTGACATGCGACAGGAGATGTTGAATTTTGCGCATTAAAAGTACCAAATTCGTTTTAGCGGAATAACTCTAAAAGTAAAGGGATTAAAAAAAAATCCGTAGTGACAGTTGTCGATCATGCGTAAATATAATTAATTATATAATTTTTGTCCTAATAACCTGTAGCATTTCGAGGATAAATCGAAAAAATGTGAAAATTAGAGGTCATTTCGTGATGTTTATCTATCGAGGAAACTTTATTGTTTTATGTTTCTGATTAATGTATATGCTTGAATATATCGTGTAATTACTCATACAATATATTATTTTTAACTATAAAGTGGATATACCCCTCTAAAATCAAATCGAAGATTAGGAATTTTTCCTCTGCTCCCTCTTAAATGAGTATCCCGGGCGCGCGGGCGAGACTGGCTTGTCTTTGGTCTACGCGGCGAATGCGCGGTTGTATTATTCAGAGGAACTTAAATGTTGTTGACTAGTAAATAGAATTCAGATTCGCCATTAATGTACGTGAAAGCGTGTGGTAACTGGGCGGCCGCCGCGCGGCGGCCTCGCGAAAATTTTCGCGTTGTGTAACTGGGCGCTTAGATTGTTTGTATTTAAGCGATTTGTATTTTATTAAAGGTGCTAATCTTCAATGTAATATTTTCTACAGGCTGACTATAAAAGAATACTCTGGTAGAGTAGCCTCGTAAGTATAATTTGTGACTTATGTCTATTCATAGAAAATGTATTTTAGTATGAATAAACAGTTTCTTTTAAAAACATTAATACGACGCTACGTTTTTGATAGCATACCTTTGTAACAAAAGTATTGTGCCGTGGTATAGTTGCGATGAAAAGATATAATCGTTGATCTTTATAGTGGCCTAAATCAAAATCGTGCTTTTTTAATTTTTTACACAGCTGTGTTCAGAATATGTTAAATGTGGGTCCGAGTTTTGTAGATTTGTATAGTCGGATTTGCAAATGCGCAAGTGAAGAAGTCTAGTCTAAGGCCGTGCAAACGTGTGTCTTATGTTGGATACAAGCAAACGGCAACTAGAAGCGAATCTAGAAAGTACACCTTTAGTAAACTTAATTCACCTAGGTGCATTAGATAAATATAAAAGTGAACTGTATTCACTCTTGTATTTAATATAGAACCTTTTTATCTGTAGAATTCTGGCCTTTGAAGAGACATTTTCAAGTGTTTATAAATAATTACATATCAATGTTGATATTATTGTAAACACGCAATTAGTTTCTCTTACGTCACTTTTATTCAGGTTACTTGGACATGACAATACTGTAGAGTGGAGCGTAGTCATCGAGTATACAACCAGAAATGGAGACGAAATAAGGGCCATCCCTGGCAACTTATCAGGCAAATGGGCCCTATATCACTTTTAAATATCAACTTTTGTTGGCTTTAAAATTAGAAAACTGAAATTACTATTTCAGTTGTGTGTACGTCTCCGTGTATTAGAAA